CCGACATTCATCCTAGAAAATCACATATTCTGAATGGATCCATGCGAGCTTATGCACTGTTTTTGATGCGCTCTGACAAGATGATCGTTGTCGTTTGGTTTATTCACAAAAAGCGGTACTGAACAACCCACTGTTACTATTTAACATTCATTCTGCAAATATTTCAGACTATCACGACTATTGCCTGAAGAAAAATCTTTTTCCAATATATTCCAGTTCTAGCAGAATTATTGTTGAACGGTAAAAGGTTAGCGTACTTCATGTCCGGAGAAGAAACATTGGAGCAGATTTTCGGGTGGATTAAGATTAGATGGCATAAAAAGTGGATTAATGCGACCGTGAGAAATGTCCAAAGATTAGAAAGTTTACAAGAGCTCAACAAAATTTGTTCCTTAATCGCGACATAATGGCTAAAAATGTTCAAAAAAAACGGCAGACTTCCGAGGTGTACGGTAGTAATAAACACTTCGAACACAATGCGCGTTAGCGTTGAGTTTTGAAGTGCAAAGCCGTCGAACTGCAAAACGAAAAACGGATTCCGAATCTCGATTTTGCCATCAAAAGTTACACTCATCACCTAGTTGTTCGATGTGCACTAAAATCGGAACCAGTTTCTGACGGGTTCAGACAAGTCGTCATTCGGTTAGGCTGACGGTTAGTATTGGCACAAATACCGAATGATTCTCAAGCATGAGTCACATGCGCCATTCACAACAAATAATCTAATTCATGAATAAATTTATTACTGAATATTGCATGCCACGTGACGATGTGCACAAGTAAACGGTATAGCGTTATAAAAGTTTCGAATACGTTTTCGAATAAATCGGATTTTATCGTGCTTACATTGTCGACTTATTGGATTTGTTCAAATTTTAAAACTTTTATAAGACATCTCATCATCAAATTATCAACCCTTCTCGGTTACCAAAAAGTTCATTACTATCTTCGTTATGTTTTCTTCGTACGCCCTATGGCCATTGTTTCTTTTTACTGCTCGAATTTTAACGTAGTCGAATTTTGTGATTATTTGTTATCTTTTGAACGCAACTGCTCTAGTTTCACTAGTTTTATTCTCAGTCCTGTTAATTTCCTGTTTTAGAATTTGAACAAATAGATGAGTTGAACCAGTTTTCGGTATTGCATAACGTCTCATAACATGAGCGCATTCTAATCATAACATTCGATAATTCCATTTGAATGGTTCGCGCGCTGGATTTTTGATTTTATTTTGTAAACTTCACTCGAATAGTTGTGTTGAAGAATGGGAGGTAAACGTCGAAATAAGAACAAAAGTGATCGCGACGAATTGGCCGTAGCACCTTCGAGTTCTCGGCAACACACCGGTTAGATTTCATCTTGTCCGAGTGGCATCTTGTGAACGGCTGCAGTTTTATAGTTCACGATTTTCAGTGGTTCATTGCGGTGCAGAAATTGAGCAGTTGTAAAAGTTTTCAATGAATTTTGCACTTTTGTTATAGCGAAAACAAGCAGAGAGACGAATGATTTTGAATTGGATAATGAGGACGACGCCGCATCGGTTGCCTCGCATTTGACGCTGGATGATGACCTTCAGAGTGTTATGGCTGACGATGGTTCGTTATATTTATCACTATTATTATTAACATTAATATTTATTATTATTTATGTTTATTGTTTTACAATTTTCATTCTGATCTGTTGCATCAATTGTTGATCATCGTGTCAGTCCTTCTGGTGATTCTGTCGATTATTCACTCATTTAATCGTTATTTCTTTGCGTTGTATTTGCATGATTGTACAGTTTTAATCGTGTGTTTTCTCCAAAAAATCATGTTGATCATCAAAATACGTTGATAATTCGCATATTTATGTTGGTATGCATTGGTTCACGGTCTCCCAGTTCATTTTCGTTGTTAGGATTTCAGTTATGATCACCATCAATCAACATTTTTAATGTGAGAATTATTTTGCGTCCATTAGAAGAGTCTTATTTTAGAACTGGACAATGAAGGTGAAGATGATGTATCGAATGATTTGTCATCGAGACTGTCCGAATATTTGGATAATGCCACAAATAAAAAGTTTGCGTTTATTCATTTTCTTTACCGTTGTTTCTCAATTCAATATTTACTCATTTTGAAATTTTGGAATGATCAGTGTAAGTTAGCATTGATGCTAATTATTGTAATATTCACTTATCAATGGAAGAATGCTTTATAAGGAATTATCCTTCTCATTGTTTGGTTACTTTTCATTACATTGAATATGTTCGAATGCATTCGTTCCAATCAACCAAAATTTGATCGATATTTGGAATTGATTTAATTCACATTTCAGTATCTCGATTCGTTTGGCAGCAATGAATAATATCCAAATGATGTTGATGAAGAATTATATGATAGAAGAGTTGGAGAAGTGGACAGTAACAGTGATGGATTTTATTGAGAAAACATTGAAGAAGACTGATGAGGAAGCATATCGTGCAGCTGTTTTATTGGCTCTTATTTGTTTGCAGTTAGGTGAGTGGGCATCGATTGAATGATATAATATGTGAATAATTTGGTCAGCTGAATGTTTATCAACGATGCCATCGTGGTTTTTTAAGTATAATTGTCTATGTTGAGAGAATCACGAAACATTTTCATGCTAATAATGGTAGTATGTTATACTATTATTCGCCATTTTGACAGTACCTGTTTCGCATTGATTGTTACATCATGGTAATATCAGTTGTAATCATCATGGTCATGTCAGATTATAAGAATCACAGTGCTGCTTGCAGCATCGTTCCATTTGTGCGAGGCTGTTCAACTTTTTATTCCCGTAATCACTTTTAGAGAAGTAATAAGAGAAATATAATTGGCAATGATTAGCGATAATACTAACAGCAACAATAATTGGGAAGATTTCAGGTGATTCATTGAGCGATCAAATAGAGCCAATAATAAATATCCTAGTCCAAATTAGTACTGATTCGTCGAGGTGTGAAAAGATCCGTGTTCAGTGTTTGAACACACTGTCAATATGCACATATTTGTGCGTTGAACAAGCCTCAACACTATCCACTTGTGCGAATTCGTTACGATCAGTTTGGATCACCACTAAAGCCAACTCTATTTCAACGTCGGTTTTTAGTGCTGCTTTAGCTGGATGGTCTCTTCTTATCAATCAGGTATGGACATCAGTACAATAGATTCTTTTTTTTGTTGGTATTCGCTGAATTCGATTTGGATGTTTTTGATTCGTTCTTATCCTTCATTTTCACTTATTCCATCTCCTAAATGCCAACACATTTCCATCCTTTGATGTCAAATAATATAACTTTTTTCGTTATCGTTTCATTTCATCCAGTATGATGCACAACAGTCAACGATGCTTCTTAGTTCCGAAAATTACCAGTGTTCTCGAGTCCTGTTTCAATCGTTTGGTTAGCTATCAGAAATGCGATGAAATAGTCCGGGCTGCCTGATCCGGTGATTGGCGAGAATCCTATTAATCCTACTCATTTCCATGATTGTTTTAATTCAGGCGGGCCGTCGAACACTAGAATCAGCTCTGTTGGATGAGTCTAAACTTTGTGCGTTCATCGATGGCGCTCAGGTGGAATTCATATCTCTTAAAAAATCTCTTTCATGTATCGTAACTAAAATATATTGTGCTTGTTCATGAAAAGTTTAGTATGCAAACGATAGAATTTCTATTGTACAGGTGGACATGCGTCTAAGTGCCGGTGAATCGTTGAGTGTACTCTACGAAACAGCGATTGAAACAATGGGCGTAGCGTATCGCTTCCCCAATCACCAACACCTACTCGAATTATTGGAAACACTCTCAACAGATTCGTTGAAATATCGAGCAAAGAAAGATCGAAGAGTGCAACGCTTCTCATTCAGACAAATCTATAATTTTATTAAGGTGAGTTGGCTTGTAGAAAGGAAAAATCAGTGGAAGGAAGTTAAAAATGAAGTTGGATGAGAGTGTTGAGGATTTGAATTTTTTCGTTTCTTCTTGTTTTGTTTCATTAAAAATAAGTCGAGTAGACATCACTGACCATTATGCTGAATAGTGAATAAGGTCACGATGACGGTGTTGGTAATAAGAAAGGTAAACTTTAATGGCGAAAGCATACTTAACGAAAGTTTTATTTTGAGGATCAAACGGCTCCATCGATGAAAATCAAATTCAGTGGTGAAACTTTAGAATTGGATTCATGCGGAAAGAAATTACTCTATGACTTGCTATGTGGTGTTCTACGTGGTGGTATGAACTTGCATTTGAAATCGAATCCGATGTTGAGAGAAATCTTTGATTTAGGGCCTGTTCCAGAGCATTTACCAGCAAAGATGAGCAAATTGCAAAGGGTAATCAACGCCTTCGGAAATTATTTTTATTAATGTTATGCATTAATTTGCAGAGTTTCTGTAATAATTTATTTAAATTGTGGAATGTAAAAACAATAAAATATGATGACGAAAACAAAAAAAGAAATTCAACAGTTGAATTTCGGAAACATCGGAACAAGTGGTCAATATGTAATCTCTGAAATGAAGTTTACATCTATCGAAATTCATCAGCCCATCGCCCGGAAATAATTAAATGAAAACCAAATGCATGAGCAATTAATTTGAGCCTTTTTGGAAGGAAATTTTACAATCTCAATTCGTAATCAGTTAAACGCATACTGTAAACAATATGGAGAAGCAATTTAGTGTGAATTTTCTTAAATTTTTGAATGTGATAACTTACGAACTTCTTAATCGATGAGACAAACTTGACATTCCATTCCCTTATCATAATTAATTGTATGGAACTGATCACTCTCAAAAACTTCACGAAACTTATTCTCGAAAATATGCTGAATAATCATAATTTCTTTCAGATGGCAATACAGAATGCGATGAATAAGACACGTGATTTACAACGTGCAAAACAGCGCGATAAACGTTCTTGTTGAAATGAGAACTGAATGGTATGAAATGGGAATTGATTACGTTTGATGTGGGAATTGATTATGTTTGATGGTTTTTGACTGGATTCATTGATATTATCATAGATACATCATGGTTATGATCGAAAGCCTGAACAAGCCCTTCACTGCCTCATTCGTTTTATCATCATCATTATTATTATCAGTATCAACGAAATTACTTTCGAATAAATCCATTCAGTGTTATTTCTTCGAAAATGTCTTAAAGTTCCCTTCCCCATACATTTTACAAACAAAAACAACATTCAAACAGCACTTTCTTAAAACTGCTCTTCTGACGGTTGTTGATCGCCACCACTCATACAACTACAGGATTTGTTACCTTTATCCTCATTTTCAGAACATGAAACCGCATTACCAACTACGGCCGTTTTCTTTTTGTTCGACTTCTGCTGTAATTCAAATGATTTTTGGCTTAACGAAATAATTTTCAGTCGTGAAAAATGTTTTCTGTGAAGTGAAGCGGTGATGCCGATTGAGATTTGATAACAAATTTGAGTGATTAGGTGTAGAGTGAGATGAACACACGAACAATTAGAAACGACGTACTTTTTTCACTCCCATTGTTAAATCATTTGTATTCAATCCTTCCAACAAAAGGCACGCTTTGCATAGTCTTTGAGATGAAATATATTTACACCTGCAAATGATGATGAAGAAATAATTCAGTACTGATAGGTACGGTCAATTATTTTATATCAGAAAATTTGTCTGAACTTTTGAACTGAAATCCTCAATGGAACGCACCTCTCGCAATTGGTTAGCTCGGGTAAGGCAACCTCTCCACGAATCGCCAAATCTTCACCTGAACGAATCAGATCTAAAATAGCTCGAGGCCTTATTCTTTCCAACTCTTTAATGAATGTTCTGAAATGTAAACCATATTGACCATAAACGAATAAACCGATTCACATCTCTCTCAAGTTTTCAACTTGTCTTTTCTGCTTTCTGTGATGGAAATCTAATCAAATCAGCAGAATAGAACTACTTTGTTGGGGCACAAAAACAATCAACGCATCAATCAGTTTCGAAAGTGAAACAAAGCAAGAACCTCGCATATCCTCGATATGCGTTTGGTGCATAAATGCATTCGGTTGAGAAGTAGTCAAGTTTCATGAAATGTGCATACATCACAATGTCCTTCTCGAACGTATACTTGAAGGGTTTAACGCGAGGTAAACATCCATCTGCACCTAAAATGGAACACACTGAACTTGACTTGTCACATTTCAGTCAGTGATGAATTCCTCTGGATTCAGATGATCCCAAACAATTTTTTTCCCTCAGCTAATGTTGTTGGGAACTGAAACATTTCTTCTATTGATGACTACCGACACACTGGCAAGCATTCGACAATTGCAGAATGTTGTTTTTTGGTCGGTGACCACCAAACGATGAGCCCCTTTCCGATCAAGTCGGGGAGACGAGATCGCTGTCTAGTGCGTGACAGTCTTCTGATGAGATTATACATGACAGATGCAAGGTCACGATGAACACCCTCTCCCCACTTATTCTTGATCTCATGTCAGTGTGATGGAACGTTGAACTTGAAAATCAATCGAATGGCACAAACCAGTAATAATACTGGTACATCGTTGTAATCTAGCAATATCACCCCTTAGTATATTCATTAGCACTGTTTCGGCCAGATCGTCCGCATTGTGTCCAGTCACAAGTTTATTCGCTTTCAGCATCTGAGCTCCTCTAAAATGAAACATCGAATGAATTTGATTGAAGTGATTTGCAAATAGCTAACGACGTGGGACAATTTCATATAAATTTCGGTGGATTACAAGTTGTTGTTTTATCCACTTGATCATGATGAATTTCCTCTGTTTCGAGAAATGAGACTATCTGAAGGTAATATATCCTTGTGAAATTATTGAAGTCGTCTGTTTTGTTCCGTTGACGTCGAAATGATAAGTGACTTTTCGTGTGCATTGTAGCTGGGATAGATAGAGAGAACATTCGCATGATCTTTTAATGTTGTACCTGTCCAGTGCTTGACGTCTGAAAACTCCGCAAAATGTGCAGTTATTCTTTTTGCCGATTTTCGCAACAATCTCATCCATTGTCCATCCGTACAGGTCTTTGTATGACAGAATCGTCAGCTCAAGTCCATACTCCGTACGATTCCTTTCAACTGCTCTCAATGAATCGTCACGATATCCCTCCAAAGAACTTCATTTTGACAAATAAATGTCATCGTTTGTCACAAAATGATAGAATTAAATTTTTGAGACTGTTCGATTGAATTCCTTCAGCGTACGAAAAAAAGAATTCTGAAGCACTGAAGGAACCACGAAAGGAAATGTATCTGTTTGTTGCCTGAGAAGTTGTCTAGCTATATACTGCTGACTGCTCTGAGACTTCTGAGATGTTTTGCCTAAATGAAATGTGCTTTCCTTCTTAATGGAAAGAGACTTCAAAGGGTGTTTCGCTCGATAGCTCCATACGTTTGGGCTCTGAGATTTTGCTTGAAGATTTAAGCTTCACGATGACCTTATGACTGTCTTTCACCGACATTAACACTCAATTCGCGTGGATATCTTGAATTGATCTGATTCAAATTACATTATCAACGAATCACCTACTTTGATGCCTTCGTCAATAGAAAGAAGGATCAGTTCCACTCCATAATCATATCGCTTATTCAAGGTATTCAGCAAATAGGCTAAAACAGTTGAATCTTTACCACCAGATGCACCAATTGCTATACGTTCACCACGTTTGAATATCTCATTTTTTGAGATTGTTTCATGAACCTTCTGTAAATTGGTTTGGCATGCATTCGACATCTTATTCATATGAAAGATTCGTGAATGTTTTCTACTTTCACAGAATGTTAAGAGAAAATATTTTCCAAAATATCTAATGTTCTTGTTCAGAAATCCGCGATGAAGTTCTCAACTTGAAGCACAGTTTTGAGCGAGAGATTCAGTCCATATGGGATAAAAATATGCGGAAGTAAATCCTTACACAGTGCATAGATTCAGTACAAAATTTACCAGCTCAAAAAGTTCAATGAAGCACTTTCTGCACACTGCATTACTGTCTTCGGATCGTTTCAAGGCCGCAGCCCCTCCGCAATTCCAACATTTTAGCATCTTGAATTCGATTCATCGTTAACAATTCAACTTGTAGGCTTAAGGCCACGAGATGATCATCTTGTTGAGCCAAGCTCAATACTATTAATACAGTTACAGCAGATTCTATTATCACTGTGACAGTATCATCGGAATATGTCTCACAGTTTTACTAACACCTTATCA